TTGGACTTGTATTTTAATATGATTAGCTTTCTCTGCAATCCTTTGCACTTTGCTTATGCATTAAAAAAAATAGTTCTAAGAAGAGATCCATAAGCTTGACCAGACAAGCAAAGACATATACAGGATGCTCAAAGATGTTCAGAACCACTGCGTGGAAGAGATCCCTCCGTTTCTATTCTGATCTTCTTTTTGATTTTTTCTACATGTTCCCTCTTGACTGTCTCATTAATTCCTGTGATTTTGACCATCTCCCATCCCTTTCCTTGTTCAAAAGTCTTCTTGTGCTTTTCTGGAAGCCCAGCCTCATAATCAACAAATTACCTACATTCTCAATCTTTTTCTGAACATTCCCACACCTGGCCTTTGCTAAACCACTACACCCCATCAGTCTCGAGCCCAAGTCCTTCCAACTTAGAAAACAACAACAAGCTTTGATATGCTCCTCTCCCATTAGTTTCCTATTTTTTTTTTCTGTAACCAATTACCTATGGCTGAAAGCAACACAAAATTATTACTTTACAATTCTGGAGGTCCGAAATTCAGATAGCCTTACAGGTCCGAAATTCAGATAGCCTTACCAAGGTGTTGCCAGGACTGGTGGCTTCTCCAAGGGAGAATGTTTCTTGTCTCTTGCGTCTTCTAAACGTGGCCTCCCTTAGTCTGTGACAGGAGTACTCTGATCTCTGCTTTCATCATCAACATCTCCACTCAGATCTGTCTCCTTTCCTCTTATAAGGATCGCTGTGATTACACCCACGGCCAGTTAGGGATAATCTCCCCATTGTGACATCCTTGATTTAATCACATCTGTAAAGTCCCTTTTGCCCTGTAAGGTAACACAGGTTCTGGGGTTTGGAATGTGAACGTCTTGGAGGGGGGGGGCATTATTCAAACTACCACACATACTCCATTTCTCTCATCCTTGAATTCTTAACCCTCTGCACTAACCCTCTGCATTCTCTGTCCTTCCATATATCTCTTATTTCATTTCGAATCTCATTGATTTCTAATCCTGAGGCTGACTCTCGATTCCTTTCTTTCTCTTGCCACTATCTTTAATAAAGGAAGTAAAATAAGCAAATCCCGTTCATTTCATCTCCAAGATCTTGGTTAGTGGTTCACATAGCAACCCAGTGATAGCGCCCTTGAAGTCTCACTTGGATGATGGCAAAGCCTCCTTACTGGTCTTCTGCATTCACTTTTGCCCTATTCTAATCTAGACTCTATATTATACACAGAATTATAGTTTTAAAATGCAAACCTGATTAAGTCACTCTCTTTTAAAAAAAATTTTCAATGGCACGGCATATCTGAATTCACCAATAATAAATCAATTCTTCATATTCATTTGTGCACTGTGAATGTCCTTGAAACACGGAGAGCAGGCATTTCCCTAGCTGACCCACCCACACGGATTCTTGCAAAGGCGAAAAGTCGTGCAAGAGTGTATGCTGACCAAGCTGCGATAAACCCCTGCCTTTGTCTGGAACCGCCCGCAGGTCCTCACACGTAAAATACAAGAGGGAGCTGAATCAGACTTTGATCTTGCACCTGGGTCCCTAAGGTAGCGAAACTCATCAAAAATAATGCGGAGTAAACAAGACCTCACCCAATAAGGGGAAGCTGTGGTCAAAAGCATTTTGTCCCGGAACCCCTCTGCCTTCCCCAGACTCTGGACGCGGAGCCCAACAATTGATGTCTCTCCGCGGCACTTTTCTTCATTTCCTTGGAGAACTCATCAGCTTTCTAGATCTGCCTGGGGAGAATGGGGGCCTCTTTTCCAAGAAGCCCAGAGCCTGTGGAGCCCCCAGCGCCCGATCTCGCTGTCCCCTGCGGAGGAGCCCTGCTGGCTGTCCTGATGCTGCTGGCTCTGCCGGCCGCCTGGGGTGAGACGCTGGTGGGCGTGGGGAGGCGCGGTGGGGACCGGGGAGGGGGCGAGGTAGCCCCGCGGCTGCAGGAATAGGGCCTGGCTGTTCTGGACTCGGAGGTCCAAGGCGTGGCTGTAAGTGCACTTAGCGCAGGTGGTTCTGGGATCCCTCTGTGCACCCGAGCCCCTCCTGGCCTTTGGAGTGGAGATCCCACTCGCAGGGGGCTCTGTGGCACCCAGAGCAGAGGAGGGCCGGGAATGCTCAACCCGTGCTGCATGAAATTCCTTGCCTTTGTGTATTCAGAGCCTGGACTGGCAATAGTAGACTGTGGCGCTGATCCTAGTGAAAAGAAAGGATTGGAAATTCTACAAACCTGGTTCTAGTCCTCGAAACTTGAACTGCGAGGAAAGTTAATACTCCAGTCGGAGTCCGTTCCCTCATATGTAAATGGGGATATTGATATCTTGGTGTTGCTACCCAAGTGGCACGAAGTGTCGGGTGTCTATCACAGTGTCTATCACTTAAATTCATTTCTATCCGCCAACCCACTCCCTCTGCACTTGGCTCCCAAGGGCGTTTAAGCTAACGGTGCTAGGAGTACAGTTATCACCCGAAAACTGCCCTGCATTGAACTCTATTTACATCCTCACCCCCAAATCAGCATCAATAGCAACACGCACTTAATTGAGCACCTAATTTAAGATCCTCCTATGCCAGGCGCCTGAGGCTAGAGTAGCAAGTGAGCTCCAGATCGCACAGTGTAACTACTTGAAGGTGGAAGGACAGCAGAGAGGTTTACATGTGCCATTTTAGTGATGTGTAGGCACAAAATAAAGCCTATTTTAACTATCATAGAGATTCTGAGGCCCCATCTTCCTTTCCTTCCTCTTAACTCTAAGTAGGTAAACATCTTCAATAGTAACTCTTCTCCTACTATTTATGTCCTCCCCAGAAGTCTTCCTGGTTGCTTTGACTCACTGGCCAGAGTTGAAGTGACAATCTTGTCTATTTTTGTCCAGCCTCCTCCTGACAACTCAGGGTCTGCTCTTCTCCACCCACTAGATATTTTGCTTTCATTATTTGATTGTTTCTTGACTTCTGACTGCAACCACAACAACAACAAAACAAGTTTCCACAAAGGATGTTGTTGATATTTTATCTCCCTGGACATCAGAAGGTAACTTTTCAGATGAACAGTTGTGATAAAACTTGAAATTGTGTTTTTAATAGTATGCCAAGTTAAATAAGGAATGTGCTGTCAATGCTTAGAAATTTTTGTGGTCTTGGAATCTGTCTGCCCCCTTCTTACTGGAATGTTATTATAGTTTGCTCGTGTTTATTAAGTTACCATTAAAACAATGCTGGACACTATTAATTGCAAAGAAAATATTTATTGAGGTTATCACAATAACCTCCAAAGGTGGCACCCTAAATTAAAGTATCTAATAATTTGATTGCCAAAGTAATTTACATAGCATTTCGGAATTTAAAAGAAGTATAAGAAAAAGTTCTGCCTCTAAGGTGTATGCCTATAGAAGTTGGTCTGCTTTTTCCAGGTTCTGCTAATTCTTAGCCAGGGACCTTGAGCCCAACACATAATTAACAACCGTAACCTCAATGTCCATGTGTATAAAAGGGGCATAATTGACATCAGGCTGAGAAGGTCATGGTGAAAATCAGATGAAACAGTACATGTGACAGTGTTCTGTAACCCCCTCATGCAGAACTGAAAGTCCATGACTAAGAAGTCACACAAGAGAGCCTAAAAAGTACAGGATAATTAACAAAGGAGCGTTCTGGATTCCAATGTCAGAAAAGATTGAGAAGCAGCAATTTGGCTTTAGCAGTACTTGAAGAACAAATCTAACAACAGGTTGTACAAGATGATTCCTGGGGATATGTATTTTTATATAAAAATAGCAGAGGTGTTTGGATTATTTTATTATTATAGGGTACTCATGATATTAATTTTAGTCAAAACAGACTTCAAACCAAGGAAAATGATGAGGGATAAAGGAATGATAAAAGGATCAGTTCTCCAAGAAGACATAACAATCTTTACAACGTGCGTGCCTAACAACAGTGTCCAAATACATAAGACAAAACCTGACAGCACTGTGAGCAGGAACAGGTGAACCCACTATTATGGCTGGAGACTTCACGCACTATATCTGAAATGGGCAGCTGTAGCAGGCAGAAAATCGATAAGGACATAATTGAATTCCACAGCATGCAGTCAACGCATGCAGTTGGCAATTATGGACCACTTCATCCCATGACAGCACAACGCACATTCTTCTCAAGTTCACATGGACCATTCATGGAGATAAACCACATTCAGGACCACAAAAGTAACAAGGTAGTTATGAGGACTGTGGTTAATATAGGGCGGGCTCTGGCGCCCTCTTCTGGTCTTCCTCTTGAGTCTTGTTCTGCTATCCCTGCTAAGTTTAGATGCCAATTTGCCTTCTGTGCTTTGTGATTTCTTATGCTTAGATGAGTGGATTTATGGTTTATATTATCAAATTTTTCTAAAATAGACTTCTCATTTTTACAAGTAATTTTTTAAAATATCTTGCACAGAAATACCAGGTAAAGATAATCCTAACAAGACCAACTACAGCAAATAAAATGGCAGAGAAAACAGTCTCCTTTCCCATCCTCAAACAGACACATATACACAGGGTTTTTGAGAATGGAATTAAGAACAAGAGATACCATCTGCCTAATTACAATGAACAAATATCAATAAAACCAAAAAATTCAGAAAGTATCATGAAGACTAGTTGAAAAGTAGCTTTGCATGCACTGTTAACAGAAATGAACTGTGATGATATTTTGCCCTTAAGGTGTATTTAATGGTTATACTCACTCATCATGATTAACAAAGCTTTTAAAATATATATTTCATCAGTATCACATTTCTTCAAAGTTTTATAGATAATTCATATAATGTATACTTTGTAAATTTGGGTTTTTTTTAAAGTGCGTGCTATTTTTTTTTTTTTAACTTGTAGTTGCTCCAACAAAACCTTTGTAGTGTCCTTCATTAAATAGTGGGATATGCAGAACAGGATCAAAGTGTACTCCAGATTGACAGCTTATATTGGAGTAAAGACACAGAAGTGACAATGAGTTAATTGTGCTTATAGCACAGGATGAGTCAACCTGCCTTGAATGGAAGTTTTGAATCAAGAATATTTGAAAGTGGGTTGTGTCATCCAGAACAAAAACAAAATGAGATACCAATATACACCCATGAGAATGACTAAAATTAAGAAGACTGTACCAACTATTGGCATTAAGTGAAATAAGTGAATTATTAGCCATTGTTCATTGGCAGATAAAAGAGCACAGCCACTTTGGAAATACTTAAAAAGTTAGGCACACACCTGTCACGTGACTTGGCATTTTCCTTCTAGATTTTTACCTAAGGGAAATGAAAGTTATGTCCAAACAAAGACTTATACATGGATTTTCATAGCGATTTTACTTGTAATCACCAATTATTGGAAACAATTAAAATGTCTTTCAGCAAAGTGAGTGGATAAACTAAATTGTTATATTCAGTTATATAATGGAACATTTCTCAGCAAGAAAAAGAAATAATGTTTATACATGCAGCAACCTGGATGAATCTCAAGATGTGAAAGCTGGACCAAAGCAAAATAAAATCTGAGTAATGCATATGTATGTAGTCCTATAAAATCAAACAAATCTGTAGTTTAAGGAAGCAGGTCAGAATTTACCTAGAGAAAGAGGTGGAGGGTGAGTTGCCAAGGTGCACACCTGTAAACCCAGTGACTCAGGAGGCTGAATCCAGAGGATCACAAGTTGAAGGCCAGCCCTCATCAACTTAGCAAAATCCTGTCTCAAACTAAAAAATAAAAAGGACTAAGGATCTAGCTCAGTGATAAAGTGTCTTTGGGTTCTATCTCCCCCCAAAAAAAGGAAAAGCAAAAGAGAGAAAGAAGGAGGTGGAGAGATGGATGAATTATCAAGGGACATGAGGGAACTCTGCAGGGTGGGGAATGAGGTAGAAATATTTGTTCTCTTGATTTTGGTGATAATTTATTGATGCATCTGTATGTCAAGTCATCAAATTGATGAGTACACTTACAAATGTTGAAAGGTATAAAATTTAAATTATGGCAGGTCTTGAGTTTAGGCAATGCATATTAATATATTTAATATAGGAAGTAGCCATAATTTGAGGTATTAATAATAAAGAAATGGAAACTAGATCAAGCTGTCTCTGCTGAAGACACATAAATAGGGCTATTATGAAAGTTTTTATTTTGAGGAGCAGAAGGATACCAAGGATTAAGCTTAGGGGTACTCCACCACTGAGCCACATCCCTACTGCTATTTTGTATTTTATTTAGAGACAGGGTCTCACTGAGTTACTTAGTGCCTTGATTTTGTTGAGGCTGGCTTTGAACTCGAGATCCTCCTGCTTCAGCCTTCCAAGCTACTGGGATTACAGGTATGGTCCACCGCACCCGGCCAGTTTCCATTTTTATTATCACATATGGTATTCACATGTGCAACTCAGGTAAAACGTTTAGGTAATTAAAGAAAAAGAATATCTTTCCAAGAAAAATCCATTCGGTTTGCTATGCTGCATCAGAACTCGTTCTAGCCACTCCCTGGGGGCTTTTCTTTGACCTTCAACTTCACTCACCCACACTTTTGGCACCAGCAGCTGCCCTTGGAATTTCTTCCCTTGTCCAGCATCAGTGGATGAGACCAAGATCAACATTAGTTCCATCCTGCATGTAACTAGAGAAAAGGTGAAGACTTCATATGTGAAATCACAGAGACTGGTTTTCACTCAGTGGTTTTTTAACTGTTTCTCACAGTGGTTTTTCTCAGGAACTGCTTTGCACTTGGTGGTTTTTGATTTTTTTAACTGTTTTTCACAATGATTCTGAAAGTGCTGTTATCTATCAAATCATCTGTGAAGCTTTTACCAATCTAAACTTCAGGGTTCTAACCTTTACCCAGTGGATCAGAGCTTCCAAGGTATTGTCTGCACTCTTGATGGTATTTTAAGTTTTATAGGTAATTCATTGTTTATTAGTTCATGGCGACAAATATGCACTGAGTGCTTGTAATGGGGTGATGAGCACAAGAACGAGACACCTCAGAGGAATAAAAGGCATATGGTCTCTTACCTTCCTGTTATCCATCTCTAATGTCCATGAACACAACTAAACACTTTTAAAAGCACATCAATTTTAAAAGCACAATAAAGTATTATTGATATAATGGGCCACATAAAGAGTCTGAGTAGGAAATTATGGAGTGGAGTAGAAAGAGTAGTTTAGATTTCAGATTTCTGAGAGGATCAGGGAAGGCTGTGATAAGGAAGTGTCACTTTTGCAGAGACCTGGAGGAAGAGCGGAAGTTAGAGTGAAAAGCTTCTCACAGGGAAGGACCCTCATAGACAGGGGAAAAAGTAGTTTCAGGAAACCAAGAGAAAGGGCTACAGCTCAGTAAGAGGATAGAAAGGTGTAAGATGAAGCAAGAAACAGACAAAGGCACCTTTGTTGAATCGTTGCTGGTTTAATTCAGAAAATGTGTTGGCTGCAGGAATAGGGCCTGGCTGTTCTGGACTCCAAGGTCCAAGGCGTGGCTGTAAGTGCACTTAGCTCAGGTGGGTCTGGGTCCTGCAGGAGGTGAGGTGAGGTGCAGACAGTGTATCCTAGGCAGGCGTTTAACCACTGAGCCACATCCCCAGCCCTCTTTATTTATACTTTATTTTGAGACGGGGTCTTGCTAAGTTGCTCAGGGACTCACTAAGTTGCTGAGACTGGCCTTGAACTTTCGATCCTCCTGGCTCAGCCTCTGGAGCCCGCTGGGATTATAGGCATGCATCACTGCACCCAGTGAAAATAAACTCTTGGAAACAAAACATGTCCACCTTAGCAGGAAAAAATCCATTATCATTCTCCCTTTTCTATGAATAATAATGTTTATCAAGGGCCTTTTTAGTAGCCTTTTTAGTGACACCACTAAATGCACAGTATAAACTATCATTGATCCTCTCAGGTAAATATTACCATCCCTTTTAAGAAGATCAAGTTGAGGTCCTAAAAATCCAACAACTTGTCTAAGACCTCAGAGCTAGAGAGGAGGACACACTGGGTTCAAAGCCAGGCCTCTGTGAATATGAAGTTTTTTTCTTTTGCTTTTTAAATTGTTGTTCTATTTATTTGTACAAAGCATTAGGATTCATTTTAACATCATTATAAAAGCATACAATATAATTTGCTCTAATTCAGTCCCCAGTAGTTCTCTTTTCCCTCCTTTTCTCCCTTTTCCTGTTATCTCTACTATACTGATCTTTCTGCCACTTACTTTTAGTTTTTGTTTTTTTTTTTTTAGTTACTTCCTTGTTGACATACATAATGGTGAGACTCACTGTGGTATATTCATCAGTGTGCTTAGGAAAGTTAGATCAGATTCACTCAATTATTCTTCCCTTACCCCATCTTTCTTCCTTCCCCCTTAAACCCTTTTCTTCTACTCCACTGATCTTTCTTCTATTTGGATGGAATCCCCCCCACACACTTCCTTCTTTTTTAACTTTTTTTCTTTTTCCTTATTTCGGATTAGTTTCCACATATCAGCTTTCTAGGTTTGGCTTATTTCACTTCGCATGATAGTCTTCAGTTCCATCCATTTACTAAAAAAAAAAAAAAAAAACAAAAAATGCCATAATTTCATTCTTCTTTGTGGCTTAGTAATATTCCATTGTGTATATATGCTTTATATCCTTTATCCATTCATCTGTTGAAGAGCACCTAGGTTAATTTCATAGCTTCCTTAATGTGACTTGTGCTGCTCTAAATATTTGTATGGCTGCATCCCTATAGTAGACTAATTTTAGATCTTTGGGGTATACATCATGAAGTGGGGTAGGATCATATGGTGGTTCCATTCCTAGTTTTTTGAGGAATCTCCATTCTGCTTTCCAGAGTGATTGCACTAATTTGCACTTCCACCAACAATATATCAGTGTACCTTCTTCCCCACATCCTCACCAACACTTGCTATTATTTGTATTCTTGATAATTGCCATTAACTGAAGTGAGATGAAATCTCAATGTAGTTTTGATTTGGGATGTGAAATTTTTAACACTCTATCCTTTGCATTCGTTTCCTATTGGTATTATAACAAAAGACTACAAACTTCATGGCGTAAAACAACAGAAATTTTCCATCTTTGCAAACCTACAATTCTGGATGCTGCAGCAAACTCACAGGGGCCCTTTGGAAGATTTTAAATTTTCAGTGGCAACAGCAGTTCTTGACATCTCTTGGACACTGTGTAAACCACGAACTCCTATCCAAGAGTAGCTCCTGGTTTCAACATAGATCATACTAGGTTCCTCTTGATGATGTCAGATCTTCATAAAGCTTGGTTTTTAGAAATTGTTGTAATAAAGAATAAGTGCCCCTTGAAAATCCATGTGGAATGGGAAATAAAGTCACATTTCCAATCTGATTCCAAAGTTTGAGAAGTTGTGCTGGGCCCAACATCCCATTATTAAATAATGGTGATGGACCTGACACTTAAGTTGTTTGAACATACTTATGTACTAAATAGTACTATATGTTTTTTTTTAAATTAGGAATGCTATGAAAAAAATTACTGAGACTCTGAGGGTTCTGAAGACTAAGTCTGAGAACCTCTGACATAATGAATTAACAGTAAAAACTACACTATCTGAATAAAAGAGAGAGAATACATGTTTGGATACAGAATGAATGTATATAAAAGGATGGAAAACATAGCATTGTAAATGCAAACCCAAATAAGGCTCAATTAGCAAGTGTGGCAGTATGAGAATCTTGTCTTTAAATTATCGTTATGTGTTTGCATTTAAAATATTTATTAATATACAAGGGATTAAATTTACCATTTTGTTATTTCTTTTTAAATTCATCTCACCAATAAAGTAGACCAAGTAGAATTGGAAGAAAGATTTATTAGTAGAAATAGGGTTATTTTATTATGATGAAGGGTTGATCTTCCACAAAATACAGCAATTCAATTTTTATGACCTAATAACATAACCTTAAAATATATAAAATAAAAGATGGATAAAATTAGAAGGAGAAATAAACAAATGTATAATAAGTTGGATTTTTTTAATTTTTTTTTTAATTTTTCTTTTACTGGAGATTGAACCCAGGGGTACTTACTTAACCACTAAGCCACATCCCCAGTCCTGTTTTTGAATTTTATTTAGAGATAGGGTTTGGCCGAGTTGCTTAGGGATTTATTAAATTGCTTCAGCTGGCTTTGAACTTAGGATCCTCCTGCCTCAGCCTCCCAAGCCACTGGTATTACAGGCAAGTTGGAATATTTTAACACAACTCTTTTAGCATTTGATAGAATAAGAAAATCCTCCCAAATCAAGAAGTGTCTCAAAAACTTGAATAATTATGATTAACAGATCAGGCCTTACTGACATGCCCAAATTCCTGGGCCATTACTGTGGTACACATTTTTTACAAGTTCATGTACTACAGTTGCTTCAGCTGACCACGTGCTGAATCATAAAACAAGACTCAATTTCAAGAATAGCTAATAAATACATGACTTTAAAAATTCCTCAAATGTTCATAAATTATGCAAAACACAAATAAACCTTGACTCAATGAAGAAATCACAACGGCGATTATCCAATATTTTGAACTGAAAAAAAAAAGCAACACATTAAGATTTGTACAATATAGTCAATCTACACCTAAAAAAATTAATAGTCTAAAATGCTAATTTTAGAAACTCTTATAAACTGAAAATGTTTAAACTCTCAGTAACCATTTCAAGAAATGACTTTGAAAAAATAACAGCAAATAAACCCAAAGTAAAAATTAAAGTAAGAGCAGAATCAATAACACCAAAGTTATTTCTTTGAAGATTAATACAAATGTCCTCCGGCTTCAATCGACCCTTCAAAATTCAAATTAATTAGTGGAATTGTGGGAGGAAAAGAAATTTTAAAAAGAAAGAAGATTTCCAAAGCTAAAGTAAAAGGATAATATTTTTCCAACAGATATTTCTTCTTGATTATTTGTTGTTTGATTCTAAATGACATTTTTATTGCCATGACTTAATCTGGTAGGCCTTAGGGGAGATAGTTAAGCCTAGTATTTAATTCAGAACATACATCAGAAGACATATGCTTTCACAGAGTAGAATGAAGGGGACATAACTTTCCTATGTACATATATGAGTACGCGACCAGGGTAGCTCCACAGCATATACAACCACAAGAATGGGATCCTAATTAGAAAAAGTTATACTCCATGTATGTCTAACATGTCGATATTCACTCTACCATTATGTATATCTAAAAAGAACAAATTAAAAAAAGAAAATATATGCTTTCACAAAGTGAAGTACAGCTTTAGTAGTTGAGTTTTGTCTATTTTCCCTTTGGTAACCGACTTTCAACATTGTTAACTCCTACTGAGGGCAAGAGAAGGGTCTTCTATGCCCACTGGATCTGGGGGTGCCACCAAGAGCGAGAATGATTGGTGAAATGCATGAAGCATCCCGTTACAGGATTAGAAAGATAAGGGAGTTGGGCTGGATGAAACCCAAGCTCAGGCACTTTCTGATTGACTAAAACTTGAAGCTAGGAATTGGATTTCTTTTTCTATGAGAGACTTTTTTAGTGGGTGGATACTGATAAAGTATTTTAAAATCTCCTTTCGAAGATTCCTACTAAAAGAATGGATCTCTTGCCGTTATAAAAGTGTTCTTTTTCTTCTTCGATCACATCTATAAAGTATATGGAGAGAAAGAGGAAATGGAGTAGAAGTTCCTCATTAACTTGGATGTTGCCGTGGTCTTGAACTCCATCCAGGTCAATGCAAGGCCCCAGAGTGGTTTCCATTTGCCAAGCCTGAAAGTCCAACTGATGAATCTGTGTTTCCCATCGGGACTCCTTTGAAGTATGAATGTCGCCCTGGTTATATCAAGAGACGGTTTAATATCATTTGCCAAGAAAACTCAGTCTGGACAAACGCTGAAGACAAGTGTAAACGTGAGTAACTTGAATGGACATTTCTTTGGGTCAGTCAAACATTTGTAAGGTCTGATTCAATCTGTTCAAATCTTGAAACTAAGACGCATATGACTTCATAACTTTGCCCAAGGTACAGTACATGTAAGTTATTCTTGTAGAGTATGTCTCCTGGCTCCTTTGAGTTCTTGGCACCTCTATTATAAGTTCATTTCATGAAAAGTGATCATCTCAAGGCAAGAGGGAGGGAAACATTCCTATTCACCAGGGGTGTCCTGCTTTCATAACCACAGCTAAGTAGTAATTGATTCTGAAGGAAAGAATAACTAGGAGATGAGAAGATCCCAGGCTCTGAGGCCTGTATTACTCTGGCTGAATTACAGAGTTGGAATACTTTGATATTAAATGAAGTACACATGTCTCTGAGAGCCACAGTGTAGGGATAAGAAAGAATTGAAGGGGGGTCCTTTTCAAAATGATGCTTACCTGGTGGCTGAGCCTAAGGTAACCTGGTGAGTTTCCTCAAAGTGGCAAAATCTATAGAGTCATCATAATTACATAGGCTCTACAGTCAGCTATAGTCAGGTTGGGACTTATTTTTTAATGTTATGGGTGCTTTAGACTTATGCATCATGTGGGGTTCCTTGTGACATATCCATATATGCACATAACATCATTCATTCCCTAGTACCTCCCTTTCCTTCCCCATCTCCCTTCCCCTGCTTCCCCATTCTCTGTTCTTTTGGTCTTTTTATTTATTAACATGTGCATATTTCTTCATTGGTGGCATTGTGATTATAACTAAAAGTGGTGGGTTAGATCCACCAAGGATCATTGTCACTAACTATTCCACTGCTTAATAATTATTCAGAAGAACCAAAGTCAGCACACCACAGGGACACATGCATTCCACATGCATATCCCAGTGCAGTTCACAAGATCCAAGTTATGGATCAGCATTGCTGTCCATCAATAGATGAATGAAAAAAGAAAATAAGGTGGGGAGACACAATGGAGTTCTATTCAACCATAAAGAAGAATAAAATTATATCACTTGTGGGTACATGGGTGGAACTGGAGAAAATCATGCTAAGTGAAATAAGCCAGACTCAGAAAGTCAAGGTTCAAATACTTTCCTTCATATGCAAAGCTAGAGAGAAAAAGAGTAATAATAAAAAGGGAGTATCTCAGGAAAATGATATGGAGATCAAGGAAGGACAAGGGAAGGGCAAGAGGAAGAACTGTAGAATAAAATTGATCAAGTTAAGCTATATGCATGTGTAGATATACCATAGGTTGGAACTTTATATGTAAAAAAAAAAAGGTTCAGATTACTTAACCTGGCTCTAAAATTCTTTTTCTTTCCCATAGGTAAAACATGTAAAAATCCTTCAGATCCTTTGAATGGCATGGTGCATGTAGAGTCAGACACACAATTTGGATCCAGAATTACTTATACTTGTAATACAGGGTGAGTTGAGAGCAATATTTCTTAGTTCAAGAGTTCACAAAAAGCAAAACCACCTTCAGGTCACATCTCAGAAAGAGCAATTTTTTGGTCTTAAAAGACTTGTACATATGTATTCATCTCCTGATTCAAATAAACAAAGGTATGACAGAATTAAGGAGAAATGTGTATCCTGGCTGGAAACCAGGACAGTACATATGTTGGACAGCTTTCCATGACTGTGATAAATTAGGAGATAATCAACTTAAAAGAAGGAAAGGTTTATTTTGACTCATGGTTTCAGCAGTCTCTATGCATGTTTAGTTGGCTCCATCCCTTTGGGCATGTGGTTAGCAACCCTAAACCAGAGTAGACATTATTGGAAGAAAGGGAGAGAAGAAATATGAATGGTAACAATGCTATTGGTTTGTTAGGGATGCCATAAAAAAAGTGCCACAAAATGTTTGGCTTAAGAACAACCGAAATTTTTGGAATTCTGTTCTGGAGATTAGAATCCCAAATCAGATGTTAGCGGGACCGTGCTTCTTCTGAAGCCTCCAGAGGAGAAATCTTCCATGTCTCTTCCAGCTTCCAGGCCTTTCTGGGCATGGGCAGCATCACACCAGTTTCTAATGACCATACGTGCCCATCTTCCCTGTGTTTGTCTTCATGTGGAATTCTCCCCTGGGTGCATATTTATGTCTAATGTTCTCTCTTTTTAATAGAACACCAGTGTTGGATTAGGGCTCACTCTAAAGACTTTATCTTAACTCAGTTACATCTGCCAAGACCCTATTTCCTAATGAAGTCACATTCCCTGGGACTGAGGTTTCTATATCAGCATGTCATTTTGAGAACACAACCCAATCCATAAGAGCATCCCCTTTGAATACGTTGCCCATCAGTGGTCACCAAGCATGATCCTGTGGTTGGTCAGCTCGCTCTTAATGTTAGGCAAGTTAAGAATATGAGCTAAACTTGTGCTGCCACATGAGCACCAAAGAAAAAGTAGGTAATTGAGTTTCAAAATCTTTTTAAATGTTTGTTTTTTTAAAGGACACTATCAAGAAAGTGAAAATATAACCTACAAATAATGAAAAATATTTGCAAATTGTAGATCTTATAAGATAATGTATCCATAATATATAAAGAGCTCTGACAACTCTACAATAAAAGATAAATATCTCAATTTTTAAAAAAAGCAAAAGATCATGGTGGCATTCTCCAATATATGTAAATAGACTGAAAAACATAAAGAGTAATTAATAAAACTTCTTATGGCCAGGCTTGATGGAGTATGCCTGTAATCCCAGCAACACGGAAGGTTGAGGCAGGAGGATTGTAAATTCGAGAAAAGCCTCAGCAACTTAGAGAGACCCTAAAAAATTTATTGAGACCCTATTTCTAAATAAAATATAAAAAGGACTGGAGATATGACATGGTGGTAAAGCACCTCTGAGTTCAATCCCTGGTACCAAGAAAAGAAGAAGAAGGAGAAAAGAAAGAGAAAGAGAGAGAGAGAGAGAGAGAGAGAGAGAG